CAGATTCACCTCGACGGCGTCGCGTTCGACGCCCGCCAGGTCGTCGGCGAGCATTGGGAGGGAGCTCGCATCGTCCAGTTTATCTTGGGTGATGCGCCGCTATTGCGGTGACAGACGCCGGACAGGACATGGACGGAATGCTCGATGGCCGTGTCATTGACGTTCCCGAGGACGCCGCCAGCACCGCCGAAGGTGGATCGCCATCAGCCCTGTCGGCTTTACAAGAGGAGACCGGCAGCGACTTCTCAGGCCACATCCAACAGGTGATGTTGGCAGCTTGGCGCGAAGTCGAAGGGGCAGAAGATGTGGCCCAGGAGTTGGAGAAGCTGCAGAGCGCCGACGGCCAGGATGAGATCTCCGCTGCCGTCGAGCACGCCGCGGCCGACCTAGGTCGCGGGCCGCGCGAGTGGCCCGGGCGCCTCCAGACGCAGCGCCAGCGTTAGAGCATCCACGCGCAGTTGCACTACTACTTGCGCGGGTCTCATTGGGCGACTACGCTGCGCTAGATAGAGGAGGAAGGCGATGTAGGCAGACATGTGGAGTTGTATCTAGATCCATGGGTGCGTCGAGAATTCCTGAGCTTCATTGAGGCTGCGTCTGGCGACTGCGTCGACGGCGCTCCTCAGACAGCCGTGCTTCACATTTATACCGCCGTCGAAACTGTGGTCGCCAAGCGCGACGCCGGCCTGTTGTCCGAGGAGGAAGTGTCGAGGCTGTCGACGGAAGTCGCAGCCGTCATCTTCGAGGAGCTCATCATCTGGGTTAAGTGCAAGTGACATGAGAGGCAGCCGCTCAGAGGCGCCCGGAACGTCATGGATTCTAGACATGCCATCAAGTGGAAACACCGGAAGGGATCAGACGGGGATCACCGGGTCCCGCGCGGCAGTGAGGGGCTTCCGCGACATGGGCGCCTGGGCCCTGGAGACGTTCGCTTGCGCAGCGAAGCGGGCGTCTTAGCGCCTAGTATCCCCGGAAGCGGCGCGTCGCCCCGACCGGGTGCGCGTCGCCGTTGACTTCGAAGAGGCGTCCTTGCAAGGCGCGATCTATGCAGGGGTGCAGGAGCAAGGCGAGGCACCTCGAGAGGTGAATTTCCACCCTGCCACCCGGCAGCGCAGCCGTCCTCAGGCAGGTGCCCTGCTACGAGAGCTTCGACGCGCGGACCGAGTGCTTGCGCTGCATGAGCCAGGTACGGGCTGCAAGGATGCGCCCCGAGCCTTCTCCATAAGGCTCGTCCAGGTCACGCCCCCGCCTGAGTGCAGCGCCAAACCTACCAGGTGTGTCCCAGAGCATGAGGTCAAGCGCGTGACGTCCTGTAGCTGTGCTGCTGGCGTCTCGCAGCTGGTGCTTCTGTGGTCCAAGCATGTTGAAGATCTGAAGATCGCTAGGCATAGGGGGCATGCCGACCGGCTGATCAGTCGAGAGCGTCTTTGGCAAGATGAAGGGTGATTGCGACGACTTCACCGCCTGCGGAGTGCACAGGCGCCGCAGTGCCGATGGCATTGTGGCGCTCGACCAGGACGAGTACATCTGACGCTCTGATACCGAGCAGACACGTCGACCTAGCCAAGGCCGAGGCTGACGAGCCGTCCAGAGGTCAGCTTCCCGACCTCTTTGTTTCCCTCTTGGGAGAAGCGGCCTGCGCCCTGGTCGCTGGGCACCGCGGCGTAGCGTGCGTCGTCGCCGCGCAGAGAGCCGAGAACAAGCCGCTCATGCGACGCGCGATGCAGATCAATTCCGTTGTTCTGGCCATGCAGAAGATCAAGGCGCGCGTCGCATTGCCATGAATTGAGTGTGCTGGGCAACTCAGCGTTCGCAGCGACGGGCCGCTCGAGAGGGGGGGGGGGCAGGGTGCGGCGCGAGAGGGGCCGTGTACGCGCGTCTCGGCAAGTGCCACCGCGCCGGCGAACAGGCGTGCCACCTGCTGGACCCTGTGGGCCGATCGCGCGAGCTTGAGTGCATATTCTCAGTCGGCTCCGAGCTGCTCGCAGCACGCGGCTCGGCAGACGGTCCGCAGGCGCGCCTCCACGCGTTGCGCGAGACGGTGCATGACCCCGCTTCAGCCGAGGAGATCAGGAGGCTGAGGGAGGAAGGAGGTTGCGCGATCCCTGCAGACCTCGTCAAAGACGGCATGTCCGTCTTCGGTGCTCCGCTCATGGACCCGGTCTGGCCGCCGTCCGAGAACGGCATGGTTTGCCACCTGTGGCGGTTAGCGGACCAGCTGCGCACCGAGCAGATTTGGCGCGATACTCTGGGCATGCGGGCCGACCCATGACCGTGGGCAGCATGGGCCGAGAGCTAATCTTCAGCGAGATGGACGGCAAGATCAGCTATGACCCCGCCACGGTCAAGTTCAGCGACGAGGAGCTGAAGACGGTCGTCCCGAGCTCACAGCATAGCTCGCCCACGCAGAATGAGGAGATGGCTCTCGTGGCTGTGTCACGAGGTCACGCGGAGTTGGAAAGCGGATCTACTTCCACTAGCCGCGTTGGCCCATTGGGGGTGGGATGCGCGCTCCAACGCGCGCGGGCATCCACGGGCGAGATTGACGTGTAGAGCACTCGCGTGAGCGGGCTTGCTCGGGCTGTGTCGGGGCAGCTCGCGGTTGCTTTGGCGCTGCTCCTTAAGTGTCTCGTGCTTTTGCAGAGGGGGGATCGATTCGCCTGTTTCGGCTGGTCCCGCGGGCTCTAGCTGGGATGCCTTCATCCCTTCCACAGGCGCCGAACGAGTTTTTTGGGGTTGGCGCCGCGGGGGCGCCGACGTTCCCTTGGGATGGAACGAAGGCCGTCAGCCCAGGGACCTGTCGAACTCAGGCGAACCTGCCCCCTTGCGGCGAGGCAACTTTCGATGAGAAGGGCGGTCCGTGGAACCCTTGATGCAGCTGCCTGCTTGAACTTACAAAGCACGGCTTGTTTGAGCACCAGACTCGAACGGTATGTACTCATGCATTGCTTGCTCCTCACCCTGTCCTTGCCGCTGCCGTGTTGGATCTCGAGGTTCCTTTTACCGCGCCCATCTTACAAATCAAGACTTGCTTTGTGTGCTATTCATCGCCCTGCAGCTTCCTGTTGTGGAAACAATCTTTCGCCTTCCACATCCCCATTTCTAGTCTCCTCTTCCTCCTCCTCCTCCTCCTCTTCCACCTCCTCCTCCTCCTCCTCCTCCTCCTCCTCCTCCTCCTCCCCCCCCCCGCCCCCGCCCCCCCCCCCCTAGGTTGCCGTTTGAGGGGGTCGAATCCTGCCCGGCCGCGAGGGCTGCGGAGTCGCACCCGAGGTAGTACTGCGCCCCATGCCCGCAGGCTTCGGGGGCAGGGGGACTGGGGGACCCGCCATTAGCGAAGCGCGGGCAGGGAAGCAGCGGGGCCGCGCATCCGATGCCGTAAAGTGCATCGTCTCTTCGTTTTCTGATGGGTTTGTTATGTGCCGCATGTGACTTCGAGCTCTCGGGATCTGCAAGTGTGACCTCCAGCCGAAGAAGACGACGACGTATTCGACGCACCCACGCACAATAATGCCAGATTGCCAGGGTGGATTGTGAGAGACTTCTCATTAGCACACCCGCCAGGACTCGAGCAGAGACCAGAAGATCAGCGTGCAGAATTTGAGAAAAGTTGCATGCTGGAGCACTTCGAAGAAAAATTGAAGGACCACGCGTTGGATAGCCAACGCGCAAGTTCCCGCAATGAGGACGACGTAGCCCAAAACGAGAAGGCAGCACAGGTTGCATATACAACGGGGGGAGATGGGAGTCAATCAGTCAACGCCTGGCGGGCCCGATGCGATCCTGGAGAGAGCACCCCGCCAGCGACTGAGACGGAGGCCAACGGCCCGAATTTGATCATCTTGGACGCAACGCCGTTGAATGCAGAGGAGCTAATTTGGAGTCGCTCAGAAGACATGTATTTGGAGAGCTGATTGGCGCGATTCGAAATTCAGACAACACGGATCAGTTTCAGTCGATTTTAGACGAGTTCCCATACTTACGTGCAAATTACGCATCTGGTTGCACAAACCACGACCGGATATTTTGGATGTGGGCAGTCTTTCAGCAGACGAGGCAAAGGGCACCACAGCCGCGTTTACTAAGTTGTTTGATTACGTATACAATATATGCATCGACGATGGGGAGCTGCACTTCTGATGTTATGATGTTACGGCTTGACCGCAAATATCCAAGGCATGAGGTGTACGCATCAATAGGAACATGGATGCAGGTCGGTGCTATTGATTGCAGGGGTCTCACATATAAGACAGTTGTTGAACAACCGTGCTTGCCACAGTTCGTTTGCTAGGCTATGCCTTCCGCGGCTGCCCCTTCCCCTCTCTTCCCCCCCTGGTCGGGGGCCTCGGCAGCTGGCTTGTCCCTTCCTTTCCTCGGCTGTCCTCCTCTCCTGTTCCCGTCCTGGCTCTTCGGCGTCTCTGCCATTCGGTTCCATCTCGGGACAGAGGGCTTCGTGGAGAAATAGGAGACGGCGCGTCGTGCAGTGATCCGTGGGGGGGTGGGGTTGGGGGTGGGCGGGTGGGGGGAGGAGGAGGAGGCGGGGGGGAAGAGGGGCTTGCGCCCTATGTGCACCTGCCCAGAATTTCATTGGTTTCCCAAAAAGGGGGGGGGGGGGGGGGGGGGGGGGGGAGGGGCGCCGCCTTATTGAAGGCGGCAGCCGCCCGCCTCCTGCGATTCCTTATCCCGCCTCTCCTGAGCACGGTCCCCTGCTGGCGGGATATGCGTGCTACTCCCCTGCTGAGGGAGGGGCGCTGTGCCCCAGGCGGTCCGCCGACCTGACCATGTAACGGGCTTGCATCCATGCTCTCACCCAGGGGCCCAGCTCGCTTTTAAGCGAGCCAGGGACAGGGACCCCCAAGGGCCTTATGCTTATCCTTATCCTTATCCCCCCCCTCCTCCTCCACCTCCTTCTCCTCCTCCCCCTCGTCCTCGTCGTCGTCGTCGTCCTCCTCCTCCTTCTCCTCCTCCTCCTCCTCCTCCTCCTCCTCCCCACCCCCCCCGGCAGGAGGCCCGCCGCGAGCGGAGAAAACTGCGGGCCGAGGCCGCCGAACGCGAGAGGCTCGCCAAGGAGGCGCCCCTGCGCCCGCCGCCCCGCGCCGCCGCCGCCTTTTGGGCGTCCTGAGCGGGCGGCCCATTGGCCACGGGCCCATCGCGTGCAAGAGAAAAGGCGAAGACGAGGACGAGAACGAAGAGAACGAGGGGTGAAGACGAGGAGGAGGAGGAAGAGGAGGAGGAGGAGGAGGAGGAGGAGGAAGAGGAGGAGGAGGAGGAGGTGGAGGAGGAGGAGGAGGAAAAGGACCAGTGTAAATCCAAGAGTCATCAACGATGTTGGAATGAACCCTCCCTCCAAACTCCCTGTTTGTAGGCCCCATACAACGAACGGTTCATTTCCATTGAAGGAACTGCCTCGTTGGGAAACAACCGTTTGAAGATCCTGACGCGTACCAAGGCATTGTGCTCGGGATTTCAACGCCACGTATCAACCTGATTGCTGCGTCTTGACGATCCGGAATCGTTCCAGCACGCCTTTTTTGGGACTTCAACACCGCGAATCAGCATAACTGTTGCGCCCGCACAATCCTGAACCCTTCGAAAACACTATTTCTAGTACGTTGATCATGGGGACCCGTGAAACTCTTGCAAATGTTCAAAACGAATGTGCGCGGCGCTAAGGCGAGAGCCACATTTCGAAAAGGACCCGCCCTCACTCCGTCAAACTGTTGCACATGTTTACAACGAATGTGCGCGGCGCTGAGGCGAGAGCCACATTTCGAAACGACCCGCCCTCAATCCGTGAAGCTCTTGTAAACTTAAAAAACGAATGTGCGCGGCGCAAAGGCGAGAACCACATTTTGAAGTGGTATCGCCTTCAATCCGTGAAAGTCTTGTAAACTTTAAAAAGGATGGTGCGTGGCGCTTTGGCGAAAACCACATTTTGAAAACGACTCGCCCTGAATCCGTGAAGCTTTTTCAAATTTTGAAAACGAATGTGCGAGGTGCTAAGGCGAGATCTACATTTTGAAAAAGGTACCGCCCTCAATCCGTTAACGAATGTGCGCGGCGCTACGGCGAGAGCCACATTTTGAAAGCGACCCGCCCTCCATCTGTGAAGCTGTTATCATTTTTTACGCTTCAGAGTCATAAATGGTGAGGAAGTCTCAGGCGAAACGTCCGGGCCTCGGGGTGCGACCGGGAGAAGTGATTTATAAGGAGAAGGGATGGATGATGATGATGATGATGATGATGATGATGATGATGATGATGATGATGATGATGATGATGATGATGATGATGATGATGATGATGATGCTGATGCTGATGCTGATGCTGATGATGATGATGATGACGATGCTGATGCTGATGCTGATGATGATGCTGATGATGATGATGATGATGATGATGAGGAGGAGGAGGAGGAGGAGGAGGAGGATGGATGAGGAGGAGGAGGAGGAGGAGGAGGAGGAGCGGAGGTGAGGAGGAGGAGGAGGAGGAGGAGGAGGAGGAGGAGGAGGAGGAGGAGGAGCGGAGGAGGAGGATGAGGAGGAGGAGGGAGGAGGAGGAGGGAGGAGCGAGGAGGAGGAGGAGGAGGAGGATAGGAGGAGGAGGAGGAGGAGGAGGTAGGAGGAGGAGGAGGAGGAGGAGGAGGAGGAGGAGGAGGAGGAGGAGGAGGAGGAGGAGGAGAGGGAGGGAGGAGGAGGAGGAGGAGGAGGAGGAGGAGGAGGAGGAGGAGGAGGAGGAGGAGGAGATTGAGGAGATTGAGGAGGGAGGGCAGGAGGAGGAGGAGGAGGAAAGGAGGAGGAAAAAGGAGGAGGGGAGGAGGAGGAGGGAGGAGGAGGAAGAGGATCAGGAGGAGGAGAGAGAGGAGGAGGAGGAGGAGGATGATGATGAGGAGGAGGAGAAGGAGGAGGAGGAAAAGGAGGAGGAGGCGGAGGAGCAGCAGCAGCAGTAGCAGCAGCAGGCGGAGGAGGAGGGGGAGGAGGAGGAGGAGGAGGATGATGATGAGGAGGAGGAGGAGGAGGAGCAGAGCAGGAAGAGGAGGAGCAGGAGGAGGAGGAGGAGGAGGAAGAAGAAGAAGAAGAAGAGGCGGAGGAGGAGGAGGGGGAGGAGGCGGAGGAGGCGGAGGAGCAAGAGGAGTAGGAGGAGGAGCAGGAGCAGGAGTTGGAGGAGGAGGCGGAGGAGGAGGAGAAGGATGGTCCAAGTCGAGCGCCCCCCCCCCTCGAGGATCAAAAAACAAATAAACAAATATTGATTATCCCCCGAATCAGTTTTCACGCTGTATCTATAGACGAGGACGTAGAATCTCCGTAGATCTGCCAAAGTTCTACGCGCATTTCCCATGCATTCGACGAGAAAAATCAAATGTGGAGTGCATCAATTCTGTAGCCGATCCTTCACTTGAAGATTTGGGGCCCCAGGCGGGCTGGACCTCCCACCCCCTTGAGCGCCGCCGACGTCGAGCGGCTGTTGCCGCGCGCGCACCGTGGCCTTCCCCCAGCTCGGGCCCTCTCTTGGCCCGGGGCCCCCGGAGGCCTCGACAGCCGCCGTGCGGTGCCCCCGCGCAGGCCAGCCCTGAGATCTTGGCGTCGCAATTTTTTCGAGGCGGGCGAATCAATCTAACTGTTGTGCCCACGTAATCCTGAGTCCTTCCAAAACACCATTTCTGATACGCTGATCATGGGAACCCGTGAAACTCTTGCAAATTCAAAAAAATGAATGTACGCGGCGTCAAGGCGAGAGCCACATTTTGAAAACCACCCGCCCTCAATCCGTGAAGCTCTTGCAAAATTAAAAATAGAATGTGCCCGGCGCTATGGCGAGAGCTACATTTTCAAAAGGAACCGACCCTCACATATTGATCCGGCTCGAAAGAAGTACCGCAGAAAGATGGGGCCCGGGGGCTCTGGCCGTTAAGATTCACGATGTCTCATTTTTTTCGCGTCGTCGGATCTCAGTGAAGGCCTCCGGAGGTCTCCGGAGGCGTCCAGAGGCGCAGCAAGGGAGAATCTCGACCTTCGCTCTTTTGGTTGGCTGACAGATTTTCAGTGCCACCCAAACATACTTTCACTATTCCCAGATAGCTCCTTGTAGAGCTAAAAAGGTTGTGAGATTAGAAGCCGGCACCGCAGGGTCGCCCCAGAGCTCGTTCCGGCTTCCGGCAGGACTCCCCGCAGCAGGCTCTGCGAGCCGGCAGCGTGTCACAGCACGCCTTTTCTAAATTCTAAATGTTTCTCGCCGAGCGCGTTCCACTACTCGCAAAGTGCCTACTCGCAAACGTCCGAAAAAAAACACCTGCCTGCTTTGGCGTGATTTCTCGTAGATCCCCCGCGGGGGATCCAGGCCATTTGCGAGTAGCTCTTTTGCGAGTAGTGTAACGCGCTCGTCTAGTTTGCCCACACGTGTGCCGTCAAGCTTTCCAAGAGTTCCTTCGGAAGCTCCTGCCAAGAGCTTCCAGAGCTCCTTCCAGAGCGTTCCTGAGGCCTTCTCTGGTGCTCCGCTCTCCGGGTTCTGGCCCCCGCAAGTGTGTGTGTGTGTGTGTGTGTGCGCGTCGGTCTCGCAAAAGGCGACACTCGCGCTCTCGGGCCTCCCACAGTGTAAAGCTTCGCCGCGGGCTTTTTTTGGTGGCCGTGCCGCTCGGGAGACGAAGCACTACACATAACATCTCTGCGTGTGCTGTACGTTCGTGCCCGGGCGTGCGCCTCCGACATCCGCACCTCGTACTGGCATGGCCTTGTCGGGAACGAAAGAAGGACGTAAACCGACGGGCGTGTTTTCCACCACCACCATAAGTTGGTGGGGGGTGGGTCCTCCTCCTCCTCCCCCTTCCTCTCCTCCTCCTCCCCTCCTCCTCCTCCCCCTCCCCCTCCTCCTCCTCCTCCTCCTCCTCCTCCTCCTCCTCCTCCTCCTCCTCCTCCTCTTCGTCCTCCTCCTCGTCCTCCTCCTCCTGCCCCTCCAACTTATGGTGGTGGTGGTGGTGGTGGTGGTGGAAAACAGGCCCATCATACACGTACATGAATCCACGCTGGTTTCGAGAGTGCGCACTGCGCGATTGGTCGTGTCACGCGGCAGGTCTCGCGGCCCAGGGGGCCGTGTTCATGTACCTTTGTGGGCTCCCTATCTTCAGCGTCCCAGCACGTCCAGAACCTCCACACTTCGTCTCCTCGTTCACTGGCAGACTCTCGGCGGGGAGCGATGGGGGGGAAGTGAGAGGGAGGCGGCTTTCCCCGAAGGCGGTGGGGCTTCTCGGAAGCCCCCGTGGCATTCTGAGAGGTGATCTGTGCCTTCGGGGAATGCTTGAGGAAACCTCCCGGAGGGCCAGGGGGTTTCCGAGCCTTCTGAGAATGCCCGCCACTTCTCACGTCCCCCCCCTCGCTCGCTGCCGAATCTGGTTTTTGGGGTCATAACCCGGGTCTCCGGCGGGCGTTCGGGACGATCTGGGCACCCCCAGAACGCCCGCGGCGGGGCGCAGCTGCTGGCAAGCATCCCGAGGTTGGAACACCGCCGAGCGCCGACGAGAACGGCCGAAAACCTCGCACTTCGAGCCCGAAGTTCCCCGCTTCGCTCCTCACGCCCCGGGCTCGCCGCCACTCTTCGCTGACTGCCCGATGGGGGCGTGGCGGGGTCCGCTCCTCGCCACCCACCAGACCACCCCAGCCCAACCCGAAGGCCCAAATTTATCCTCGATTTCCAGTGGGGGGGGGGGTCGGGGAACATTGAAAAAACACATGGAACCCGTACCCCCTCCCCCCCCCGAAACTCGGGTCAAATTCGGGTCTTCGGGTTGGGTTGGGGTGGTCTGGTAGGTAGTCAGCTCCCCCCTCGCCCGCGACGAGGCCGCCGAGCGCCGGCCGACGCGCCGCCGCCCGCCCGACGCCGCCGCCTTCGCGCGCCTGTACAACGAGGCGGCGTACCGGGAGGCGCTGCTGGAGGAGCCGCGCCCTTGCAGTTCATCGGGGGCGGCAGAGGGGGGGGGTGATGACTAGGGGGGGGGATATCATGGCGGGGGCCATGATATTTCCCCTGATTTCACGGCGCCTCTTCTTATTTCAGTACGTCCCCGGCCCCCCTTGTGCCGCGCACGTGCCGCCGGCCATGATTTGCGCCCCCCCCTCGTGGACGCCCCCCTCTTGGCCGCCCCCGCCCGCGTTAAGTCGGGCATGCCCTTCTAGAGGAGGAATATTCAAGACTAGTGAGGAAATCGTCGGGGGATGATTTTCTGAAAAGTTGTTGATTTTTGTTTGGCTACTTCTCGCGTTTCCCCAAAAATGCGCCTGTAGGAGGACATGCCTGACCTAACAGTAGGCTCATGCAGCGATGCGCGCCGGCGACGCCAGCGAAGACGGTCAAGGTCGAACTCCACATGTGGCGCTCCAAGAAGGGCTTCGCCTTCGAGGGTCGAAAGAGCGGCCATCTCTTCCTGGGCGGAAGGCGGCGGACGCGTGGCGGAAGGCTGCGGAAGCAGAACGAGGGCGCCTCCGCCGGCGGGAGGCGGCAGAAGGCCGGCGGCGGAAGGCAGCGGAAGTAGAAGGTGCAACCCCATATCTTTCCTCCTCCTCCTCCTCCTCCTGGAATCCGCCACATATCGAGCGACGCGGACGGACTGAGGGGCACAGTGACGCCACAGGACCCGACGGAGTGCAACCTGGAACCATCGGGGCTGCGATCGGTTCAAGGCGGAGCGATCCACGGGGTGTCACAGACCTCTGCGCGCGCCGACGCCGCAGGAAGCTACCTTACCCTTCCGCTCGCGCCCCCCCCCCCCCCCTGGAGTCGGCCAGGGGTCTGAGGCGTCCCCGCACTGGTTCTGGCCATCAGGAAAAGGGGCGAGGTTCGAGCCGGCTTTTTGCCTAGTTCGGCTTCCGGGACTTCAGGAGGGGAAAAAACACACAGACACAATTAATCGTCGATTCCCCAGAAAATATGGGAAAATATGGGAATTGGGGGGGAAGACAAAAACCCAGAAAATATAGGAAAATATGGTGAATCTTTTTATTTGTGTGTATTTATTTGTGTGTCCCAGGGCCCCTTCAGGACTGTCAGCCGGAGGGGTCCACGGACCCCGTGAGGAACTTGGGTCAGACTTTCCCCTGACGCCCGTGCAGCGCTTTCCCTTTTGCTTGGCTGCAGCCACTACCTCCTGCACGTCCTGCTTATTCTCCTCCTCCTCCTGCTCCTCATCCCCACCTTCCTCCTCCTCCTCCTCCTCATCATCATCCCCACCTTCCTCCTCCTCCTCCTCCTCCTCCTCCTCCTCCTCCTCCTCCTCCTCGTCCTCGTCTTCCTTCCTCCTCCTCCCTCCTTCCTCCTTCCTCCTCCCCCCTCCTCATCATCGTATTCCTGCCTCCATCTTCCGTCGCCCCATCGGCATCTCCCTCTGCACGGCGGCGCCTGTGTACGTGTGAAGAGTCCGACGCGACCAGGTGGGGTCCCCCCTTGAGGGCCTTGGACACGCAAAAATACGTGCCGCGCGCACGTGCCAGGCGCATGTTGCCCCCTCCCCCCCCTCCCCTCCCCCCTCCGCGCACGTACATACACGTGTGAAGAATCTGGCGGGCCCAAGTTGGGTCCCCTCCCGGGGGCCGTGGACACGTAAAAATACGTGCCCCGCCCGCACGTGCCAGGCGCATGTGCCCCCCCCCCCCCCCCATCCGCGCACGTATGTTCACGTGTGAAGAATCCAGCGGGCTCAAGTTGGGTCCCCCCCTTGGGGGCCGTGGACATGGAAAATACGTGCCCTGCACGCTCGCGCCAGGGGCCCTCCGCGCACGCACGTTCACGAGTTAAGAATCCTGCGGGCCCAAGCTGGGTCCCCTCCTGGGCGCACGTATTTTCACTTGTGCAGGATCCGACGCGCCCAAATGGGGTTCCTCCCGCGGGGCCGTGGACACGTGGAAACACGTGCCCTGCGCGCGCCGGGCGCCTGCTGGGCGCCCCCCCCCCCGCCGTGGACGTATTTCCATCGGGGCCGTGGCCATGCGAAAGTACGTACCCCGCGCGCACGCGCCTGGCGCATGCTGGGTCCCCTCCTCCGCGCGCGTATTGGACGTGTGGAGAGTCCGGCGGGCCCCTCGCTGGGGGCCGGGGGCACGTGAGAGCACGTGCCCCGCGAGCTCGCGCCGGGCGCAGGTTGGTTTCCGCCCGCGCCCAGGTTGGGTCCCCTCGTGGGGGCCGTGGACAGGCCAGGTGGTCGGCTAGGAACTATCAGGCTGATGCCAGGATCAAGAGAGGCATGGAGGAGACGAGGGAGGCGGGGCTATCGTGTCATCGACTTGGTGTGTCCAGGTTGCCGCCAAATAGGTACCAGCGTCCTTTTCTGCCCCTTCGAGATCCCGAAGCCTGCTGCCCTCGGAACCCACAGTTCCTCGCAGCGTGTGCAACGTCTCAGATACGCCGTTAGGTACATGGCTTTACCGACGCGCCCAGTTTGCTTGACGCGATTCGGGTCGCAAGAGTTAGCTGTAGACCACATGGCCTACGGCAATCCCCGATGCTTACTGACGGCTATCCTACATTATGACCTTGTTGACCAAGAGCACCACGTGTTCACTGAGACTGAGCAGACCGTGGCAAGGACTCCGGCAAGGTCTAGTGAGGCTGTTGCTCCAGCTTATCGTATCTCGGGGCCGTATCACAACCCGATTCGGTCGAACGTTCCGTATGCCCAGGCTTTGAACCTCACCGATGAGTCGGAGTATCAGCGCGACTCCGAGATCCCCACGGTCTACGATGTTATCGACACCCGGGACCCCATGGGCGATGATTGGCCCTGTAGACCTGAGGAGTTTGAAGGTATGCCTGGAGACGCTATTCCTAGGGAGATCCCGTACGCTATCCTTGCATGTGTGCACCCTTTCTCCGGCGCCCGTCGCCCCTGGGACCCTCGGGAATGTCTGGAACGTGTGCTGGTGTGTGGTCCCTGGGCCGTCGTCGTGATATCCCTTGACATTGCCTTGGACCCGAGCCTTGGTGACCTCGCCCAGACCGCAAACGTGGCCAAATGGTATCGCTACCTCATATCGGAACGGGCTCTTGGAATGGATGGAGTACCAGCATGTAAATCGTGGCCTGCTGTGAAGCGGGATCGTCTTCGGGACTCTGCTGTAGCTGGACCCCCCCTCAGGACCTACAAACGTCGCTGGGGAGGCCTGATGATGCCATCAAGCAACACATGCAGTTGGAATAGTCGAAGAAGAAAAAACGAGGATCCAAGAAACCCGCGCGGAGCGCTAAAAGTAACCAGCCCTTCATCAGTGCCCTCCAGTTGCTCATGGTTTTCCTGCAGGTAGGTGCTGTGTAGAGTGCTGGAGCGCCCATGAGCAGGCTTGGGTGGAGCCAAGGGCTCCCGGCACCTGGAACATCTACCCTGCCAGAGATAATGCTGCCTTTCCCGCACCACAGACGAACAGTTTCTTTCAATAGTACACAGTTGGTCAATCTAGAAACACATAACGCTAGTAACATAAATTCATGACGCTGCGCGTATCCCCACCAGCCCATCCAGAAACGATGCCCATGAGAGCTGGCGGGGGGAGAGATGAAGAGATACGCATAGTCCAACAGCGAGGATGGCTGGCCTGGACGGCGTGTTGGGGCCATCTTGGCTTCTTGGCGGCCTCCTGGGGAGGCTCCGTGGCCATCTCGAACCGTCTTGGAGCGGTCTCGAGGCCTCCTGGAGCATCTTGGGAGCCATCTTGGGCGAGCTTGGGCTATTTTGAGCCATCTTGGAGGTCATCTTGGGCTCTCTGAGGCCGCTCGGGGGCCTATTGGGGGCCTCTCGGGGGCCTCTTGGAGCCCTCTTGGGGCCGCTTTGGGCGCTGACCCTCTTGGGGGCCTCTTAGGAGCCCTGGAGGGCCTCTTGGGGCCATCTTGGAGGCGGTCGGTCAAAAGAGGGGGGTCGTCGATGTTCGTCCCCCCCCTCGGGGGCCACGATCCTCGTGAGGGGTGTCAACAATTGGCCCAAGCCGCTGGCCGAAAAAGGAGCCTCCGACACCTCGCGAAACCTCCCAAAAAACCTCAGGGAGGGGAGGGGAAGGGTTCCCCTCCGAAGGGAAGAGGGGATGTGGAAGAACAGAGAGATCCCCCTGAGACCACCTGTCGCCCACAGGGCTGGTGGGACTTTTGCCGCTCCACGCGGATTTCATGGATCCGTGCTGCGCCCCCGCGGTGGCGCCTCCAGCGCCGCCCCTAGCGCGCGGAGCGCGCCAGAGAGGGGGTCCAGCGCAGATCCAACAAATCCGCGCGGAGCGCCAAGCAAATGTATGTTTCAGTTGTTTCCTTTTCCAATACCCTTTTGGCTGTCCGTCTTCCCGAGCTCCGTGAGGCCATTCGTGATACTGGCCGTGTTGGTGGATGCCCCCGCTCCCGACGTTTTCACCGAGTTGTGGACGGAAAATGTGAGGAAAGTGCTCAGAAGACGGCCCCAAATAACATATACCCACCAGAGATGCGTTCGGAGATGGCCAAGGCCAGCCACGAATTGCCACAGGCATTCAGCAGGACTGTTTTTGACCTTCCAGGCGAGTTCGTGGAGCTCTGCAGGCTCTGAACCCCATGCGTGAGGACCCGAGCGCTGTCACTGCACACGACTTTGCATCATTCGACCCGAGTCAGAGCGGTGAGCCCAGGTTCGACAGACCTGTCAGACCAGATCGGGGGCCACATGCGAAACCTACCCCTACCCCCCACGATTTCTGAGGGGGAGGGTGGGGTTCACTTCGCTCGGGAGCTCCCGAACGAAGTGACCCCCCCCTCCCTCAGAAATCGTGGGGGGTAGGGGTAGGGTTCGCATGCGGCCACCTACCAGAGGCGCCCAACCCCCAGGTCTCAGGAGGACGTGCCGAGGACTGCGGGGAGGAGGACCTGCTCTCCACCGGCACGAGGAGAGGAGTTCGCCACTGCCGCCGTGGCGGCGGCCCCCCGTCCCCCCCTCCTCCGCCACAGCTCTCGGAGGAACCTCGACTGCTGATTCCACGGAAGGGAGTCGGGGGTGGACAGAACCCCCAAAAGTGACACGTTGATTAGTGAATTGTCCGTTTTCGGTTCTCGAGAGGGCGCCGTGGTCGTTATTTTCCAGGCTTGCGCCCGCCAGGTTTGGGCCCGAAGTCGTTTTTTCACTAAACCACGTTTTGCTAAAGGGGGGTCTGTCCATCCCCGAGGGAGGCAGCCTGAGAGGGAGTGGCAGCGACGTCGAGCTACTCTCGGTCTCGGGCCTACCTTCCGCTCCCTGTTCGACAGAGGGCCCGCCACAGAGGGGGACCTCTTCAGTCGTCTTTCATCACCTTGGCCCAATTTTCGGCTTGCTGCCAGCAGCTTGTCGTCTCGTACCGATCGTGTACCGATGCCGATACCTCTTCCCTACTCCCTCCCTCCCTCCATCCATCCCTCCTCCTCCATCCTCCATCCTCTGCCCCCCTCCGCCCCCCGCCCCCTTCCTCATCCCTCCCCCTCCCTCCTCGTCCGCTCCCGGCTTTCCTGGGGTGCCGCTGGGCGGGGCGCGGCCCAGGAGAAGCGAAAGCAGAAGCTCGCGGAGGAGGAGCGGGAGCTGCGCGCGGGGCTGGCGCACGGTGCGCGGGCCCGGATAGGGGGCAAGGCGAAGTTGGGAGCTGTAGATCGTTCAACCCCGTCCCCACCGGGCCATGGCTTCTCAGCCCCACCATCCCACCACCCCAGTGGGGGAAAGGCTGAGCGAATCGACCAGTGGGGCCCAGGCCGCACTGGTGGGGACAGGGATCGGTTAAACGATAATCAGGGACCCAGAGTTCCGACGACATGAGCCCAGACGTTTTTTTCCATTACTTCTCGGCCTCGGGGGGGGTCCTCACGGAGCCCCGGGACCGTCAATAAAAACGGTTCGGGATGATGAACCAGCTTTGGGGACAAGGTCGCATGTTCGGGATTGTTTGTCAATCCGCGAGTTGCTCCTCGATTTCGGCCTCTGGGGCGCGCCATCGGGCCTGGGCCCGGGGTCATTAAACATGGACCTAGGACGCAACCCTGCCCCTCCACCTCGAGCAACAGCGGCGGGGCGACCCCTGGGCAGACACGCCTGGCAACTTCTCAGTGGCGAGCCCTGGGGGCAGGTGGGAAGGGGCGAGCCTCCCCAGAAGGCTCGGAAGTCCCCTGGCCTTCTGAGAAGTTTCGTAAGCCTTCCCCGAAAACACAGAACACCTCTCAGAAGGTCGGAGGTCTTCTGAGAAGCCCCGCCGCCTTCTGACTCCGTCTCATTTCCCCCCCTCGCTCGCCGCCGAACTCTGGGTGGATACCAGATGAGACCTGCTGCCATGCAAAACGAGCGCCCGCATCTGTGGGGTCTTGATTGCACCCGCTCGCGAGATTGCGCGCCTGGCTGTAGCCAGTGTCGGCTCTGCAACGCGAGCAAGCGCCCAGAGAGGCCCCGTCGGAGCACTCGAGAGAAAAACACACATTGTGCTGGAGCCTGGTGAGAACCTGAGAGTCTGACTTCTGGAGTGCCCACCAGCAGGCCTGGAGTCCGACCGAGAAACACGAAGGTAGGCCTCACACCGCCAATATTTCGAGACGAAGCGCCAGCGGTGGGGGGCGACGTCAACCCTAGGAACAGCATGACGCTTGACGCGCTCGACTCCCTCTTCTAGGTGCAGCCCAGGCCAGAAGGGCAGCAACTTTGCTGCCAGCACTCCCACTGCACTGGATATATCAACACACTTGGCAATTTCTTCCGTTCCCTGGGCGTCGTGCTGGTGATGTGATCGTGCCGCAAGCTTAGCACAGGCGTCGGTAATATTCATGACCCGCCTCTCAACCGAGTTATGGTCATCAGTGCCTTCGGAAACTTCAAGATTTGCTAAGGAAAGGACGGGTTCATGGTGCCAAGAAACGATGACCGAAACGGGGCGCGTGCATCCAACGCGTAACCAGAGACGTGGATGCGGGTCAATTAATAAAAGGCAGGCCCAACACGTGCCAACATCGACGACGGATGAAGGTCGTTGCCATCTGCAAGTCTTGCGGTCAATTCGGTACCCAGACGCCCATGAGTAGGCCTGGGGTTAACCTGGTACATCCGAACGAAGGCGGGGCCACACTGGCCGGGCAAGATGTGATGGGAAATGAAATCATATTTGAATTTTTTTCAAAGGCTCGTCAGGAGGAAGCGAGCTAATTCCGCAAATGTCGCATTTAGTAGACAGTCAGTGAAGGGGAATCTTGGCGAGTGGCGGGCGGAGGACCCATGGGCGAGAAGTGTTTGGGCAGGAACACAGGTGGTGGAGCGAACTCCGAAATACCAGCCGCGACTTGCACCGCAACGCGTCAAACGCAACCCAACGGAAGAAACGCATATTTGCAGTTACGCCTCCATTGGATGCCCAGGCTATTGTTCCCTGTGGCCGTAGCTGAGGGCATCGGGTTTGGGATCAGTGTATCATTCACCGGCATCAGAAGAGTATGCCTCTATGCATTTGCGCAGAACTTGTGATGTCATATTACTGCTGCCAAGAGGCAGGGAAGCGTGGAAGGTAACCAACATACAGTATGGAACGCGTGATGGTGCCAGCCAGTATGTAGGAAGACTTGTGCGTGAAGCTCTGCCAGAGAAGTTCTTTCTTTAAAAATAAATCAAAACATCCAGCCTAGCTTCCACACTTGTTCTTATCAAAAAGACCGGGGATCTTGGTTAGTTGTGTACGGTGGTGGTTTCACAGTGTCAGATACCGATGCGAATCTTAGTGGGTTCAAGATGAATGCTATATTAGCATATTAGCCAGCATTGGCCCCAAACGTTATGATTATAGCAATTCATGTGGTGCTGTTTACGTGGTGCAATCTATGCGGTGGGGTTAATTTCTATACGCAGTGATTCGTCAACTCCACTGCTGACGCAATCATCCCATTCACCCCCCCGCAGCTTGGTTCGCATAAGCCCATGCGGCGGCGATTGCGATGAGTGCTTGGTGTAGGCTGCTGCATCTCTGCGGCCGCGCTAGCCCACGCATGCTCGCGCGCGCAGCGGCCAGCTAGTTTGGCGCGACCAACGCGGCCGCAGTGGCGCTGACCGCTGGACATTTCCAGGCGGCACGCGCGAGTCGGCGACGTGGGCGGACGCGGTATCATGGCGACGTCGACGAGGGGAGACACGAGGATGGTAATAGCGATGCTGGTGACGATGGTGGCAATGACGACGGCAGGGCCAACGACGGCGCCGATGCTGATCACGCCGGTGACGATGACGGCGTCCTCGCGTCAGTGATGAAAGCTTTGGAAGGCGTTCGGCATGCGCGCGCGGCCGACGCGCGAGAGTGGCCCGCGTGGTATTCTTCTACGCGGACCGTGCCCCTCCAGCACGCGCGTAAGGGCGTCGGGATGATTTCGACGTGCGGCGCGGGGGGCCCGTTTGGCATGATGTCATGAACATGTTGCAAAGCCAATGGTTCCTGAAGAATTCACCAAAACGCAAGCGGGAGCTTTTGTAAACGATGGTGTTGCGCAACCGTTTGTTTTTGTAAACATGCTGTCGGGGGGGTCGATTTTGACATCCCAGCGAAACCCAAGGTTTTGGAAGCATTTCGGCGCGCGCGCGACGGCGCGCGCGCGTGCTCTTCGTCGTTTTTTTGTTTTTGTTTGTTTGTTTGTGTTTGCTTTCTCTTTTCCTTATGTATTTTTTGTTTTGGTTTGTTTGTTTTGTTTGTTTTGCTTGTTTTTTGTTTCCTCGCGTGGGGTTCTCGTGGCAGCGCGCGCGCAGTGCGTTTGGCCCGACCGATGTCGACGCGCGCGCGAGAGGCCCGCTTGGTCGCATTTTATGAAGGATGTTGAAAACCAATGGTCCCCCCCAGAATTCGCAAGAGCGCGGGCGCGAGCTTCTTTTGTACATTCTTGTTGCGAAACCATGTGTTTCTCATGTTTTGTGGCGCTCGATTTTGAAGCCCCTGCGACGCCCAAGGCGTTTTAATTCCCTACCTAGGCTCTGCCTAGAAGGGTTCTTACTTTCTTGGCTTAAAGGGGCCGGGCAGTGGAAATCGCCCCGGGCGGTTCCCCCAGTCCCCTAGGAGCCAAGCAAAAACAACAGCAAAGGTAAAAGCAAACGCGCGGTTCCCCCAGTTGCGCTTCCTGGGTGCCAAGCAAAAACACAAGCAAAGGAAGCAGTGAAGGCAACAGCGAAGGCAAAGCAAACTCATAGCATGGCATAACATAACATGGCATAGCATAGCGCAGCATCGCATCACGCAGCATAGCATACCCTAACATATCATAGCCTAGCCTAGCCTAGCCCAGCATAACATTGCGCAGCATAGCATAGCATAACATATCATATCATATCATATCACAACATAACATAGCATATCATAACGCAGCACTGCGTCCACTATTGCTGCTATATATATATAAATATGTACTTATGTATGTATGTATGTATATATATATACATATAAATGTATATATGTGTGTGTGTGTGTGTGCGCACGTATGTTCCATGCATGTTTCCTAGAGGCTCCAACTCCTAGGTCGGGTCGCACTGGGATGATAATTTTGGCATGCGCGCGACGACGCGCGCGTGCACTTCGTTTAGTTTGTGTTGCCAGGTATTGTTGAAAGCGGAATGTTTTTTATAAACGAGTGTGCGCGCGTATTTTTGGTTGACGGTGAGGGGGGGTGGGTGGGGGGTGGGGTGGGGTGGGGGGGGGGGTGGGGGGGGGGCCTGCTTGCCTGCGATGGTGTAAGTTCTTGTTTAAGATGGGCTATCGGGGCAGAATCAAATGTACATTGCAACAAGAAAGAAGGAGCCCGTGAATTCCCCCGGGGGATGTGTGTGTGTGCGTGTGTGTGTGTGTGTGTGTGTGTGTGTGTGTGTGCAAATTTCTGTAGCAAGGGGGGCACGTGTGGTGCACGTGGTATTTTGCAAAATGTATGTTCCGTATTTATGTGCCTGAATAGATGTGTTGCAAGTGTGGGTTGTGAAATCAGTATGATGCGCCCCATATTGTGCAATACATGTCGTGCAGTCTCTGTTGTGCAGCATATCTGGATTGATGTATCCTGCGCAGAAAATGTGGTGGTCAGAGCAGGTGGGACAGTTCATATTGTTCAGTCTATGCGCTGCAACATATGTGGCGCCATCGATGTTGGTCATTATCTGTTATTCTTTACATGTGGTGCAACTTCTGTTGTGCAAGCTATGCTGCGCAATATAAGGCGGGTGCATGTCGTGAAATTTGCGCGGTGCAATTCGCCTGCAGAACTTGATGTTATGCCCGCGCAATCGCCCCGCCCGCTGACCCGACATTTGGATTGCAAAACCCATGCAGCGACGATTGACATCGCTGCTTGGCGTTGGCTGGCGCGTCGCTGCGGTCGCGCTAGCGCGCGCAGGCTCGCGCCCCGAGCGGCCAGCTCGTCTGGCGAGACCGACGCGGCCTGGGCGGCGCTGGCCGCTGGGGACTTCCAGCGCGTCTCGCAGGCCGCGCTGGCGCGCGGGCAATTCAGCGCGAATCGGTGACTCGGGTGGGCGCGGCGTCGCGGCGACGCTAACAGCAGCAGACGCGGCGATGGCAGTGGCGGTGCTGGTAGCGAAGATGACGATGACGACGGC